CTATTGGAAAATTAATAATTTAGAATATGCATATTTTGAAAAGTGATTTCGTTCGTTCTCCCGTTGCCTCCGAACCGTCCGTATGTAAACACAGCAAAAGAAGAAAAAAAAAGGTAAACAAATGAAAGTACGCGACGCAATCGGATATTAGTGTTATTGTTCAATAGCAGATCAATGCTGTTAATTTAAAATATTGGATACATGTAGTAACAGTACCACCTGGGCGCCTTCATTAAATTTACAATACCAATTACCATATCGAGCCACATAATACGCTATTACCTTTATACATATAATGAGTAATTAAATAGAAATATACATAAATATGAATTGCAACTTTATTAGCTTAAAATTCAGAGGCAAAGTTTCTGAAAACGAGCAATCGCTTTCGTCCACTTTTCGTGAACATTAAAATTGCAACTTACAAAATAAGAGACAAACATTAATCGTGTGTGTTTACGTTTACATTTGTGTATGTGTGCGCGCGCGTGCGCGCGCATGTATGCGTGTGTAAAAATAAATAATGCTCCCGTAGGCAAACAACCACTAAACACTCTTCTACCGTAATTAAAGTAACTACTGCGCCGATACTGAAGAAATGGCCTATTTATTTAAAGTACGTTTAGTAAACATAAACATAAAATATTAAATAGTCAGAGATGGAGCACGCCGCAAAAAATTAAATAACCATTGCTTATTTTTTATTAAACAAAGTATGAAAATTGTCGTTTTCTCACTCTCTCTCTCTCTCTCTCTCTCTCTCTCTCTCAATCGCCAAGTGTACCATGTTTTTTAAAATAAATAAAATAATCGCGGGCATTATCGATGCATTTATTTAATCAGTCTCCCCAACTTGTTATTTAATTGATAAATTTTTGAACGACCTTGTTCCGTGTAATTAAAAAGCTGCGAAGTTGTTGACGTAATAAAAACATTAACAAAAATTGAACAGCGTTATATTTTTTAAAGTGCAAAAGAAAACGCATAAGAGGCGTATAAGAAAATTATCGAACGTACCCGCGAGGAAGCATTGACAACACAAGGCAAATATAAATTCCGACGAAATCTAGCAGCGCGTTACAAAATTTTAAATTCATTGACATGAGACGAAGCGATTATTTACCATTGACAAAGCAACACCTGTAGCTGGTATTCCGTCGATGGAAGGTAGACGTGAGATATGTACGCGCATCTTGCTTGGCCAAGCGAATTAATGAAAAATGAAAAGAGCCGACCAAAACAACAAGTCAATTTCCGATGGCCGGAATTTATCATAAGCAGGGGTTATTGTCACCGATTATTGTTTCGATGCAGTGGGAATGAAACAGCGCAGTTCCAGAAAAAGCTCCGACAGATGTTGGGGACGGCTTTTTTTTGCGGCGTGCTCGTGGAGGGCGTGCATCCTCCGTCCCCGCGCACTCAGTGCCGACGCGTCCTTGGTTCGGAGCACCGCCAGGGCGCGGAGACGGAGCGGAGAAGAAAAAGAGCAACGAGAGGCAGCCTCACTGGCACTGTCTCTCTATCTCTCTCTCTCTCTCTCTCTCACTCGCTCGCTCTCTCGCTCCTTCACTCACTCACGCTCTTTTTCTCCCTCTCCCTCTCACTCTCTTTCTCTCCCCCTATTATATATATATATATATATATATATATATATATACAGATCTCGCTCCCCTTGGCGTTTCCCTTTCCTCTCCTTATTATTTTGCTTACCCGACTGCGGGGAAAGTCGTATACGGGAACATGGTCCTCGGCCTCGTCGTCAGTATCCTCGGCTTCCCTCAATTATATATCGCCCGCTCTCGCTCCTGAAGCTCCCGCGCGGCTTTTCTCACTCTTCGACACTGAACACCAATTCCAAGGTCACGAACACGAGCAAATCAAACAAATGCCGTAGACATGTGTGTGTGCTTACGTGTGGTCTTGTGCGAAAGCATGCCTACGTGTACTTGTGATGTCGGTACTGTGTGCTTTCCTCTGCATATACACATACGCAACATATAAATGCACGTACCCTCGCATTTGCGCACAATATATATATATATATATATATATATATATATATATATATATATATATATATATATATATATATATATATATACATATATATATTTATTTATATTTATATATATAATTATATATATTTATATACGGATGCATGCATACGTTCGTTTGTGTGTAAAGAGAGGAAGAGAAGGGAAGAGGGACAGAGAGGGATGAGCGAATAAGAGAGAGAAAGTAAAAGGGATTGGTATAGTACGCAAGGAAAGAATTGAAAAAGATAGTAGAGGGAGACTTAAAACAGAGCAGAACGAGAGAGAGAGAGAGGAAGGAGGCACGCAAGGTAGCAAACAAACAAAGCATAGAAGCATACGCCAGACAGAACCGAACCGGCTCCTCCGATATATTACGAGCGAGTGTACCGGTGTGCGTCCTTTTTCTTTCTTTGTTCTCCTCTCTCTCTCTCTCTCTCTCTCTCTCTCTCTCCCTCTCCTTCTCCCTTTCAATGTCTCTCGCAGGCTTTCTCCCTCTCTTTTTCACTTTTCTCTCTCTGCCTCTCTCTCTTACTGTTTCTCCGTCGAGTTCGTACCGCTTGACTAGTGGCGGCGAGACGCTGTTCTCGCTCACTCTCTCTTCCTTTCTCTGTCTCTAGACTTGTACAAAGAGCGCGAACAAAGCAAGTTGCAACGACAGAGGATAGCTAGACAGAGAGAGAGAGAGAGAGAGAGAGAACGAGTGATAGAACGCGCGTCGGTCAGGGCAAAGTGGTGAACTCGGAAAAAGCAACGATGGGGGGGGGGGGGGGGG